GGCTAATTTGCCTACAAACGTCAGGTGGTCATAATAATCTGGCCACTCATTGTATATGTGTGTGTATATGCATATATAAGTACATATACTGTATATACACACTAGTATATATATACATAGTATATATATATGTGTATATATATACACTAATATATATATATATATATAGTATAACTCTGTTGTAAACATATTTATTTATTTATTTATTTACTTACTTACTTACTTACTTACTTATTTTGAAAGGCCATTTCATAAATTAATTTGGGGCCCTTGTCAAGGACCCAAAGTAAATAATATAAATACAGTAGTAGGGCCTCTTGCTTGTCAGTTGGAAGGTGCAAATGAAATGAAATATACAGAAACAGCATGCAAAATTTTGTAAAAAAAAATAAAAAAGAATGGCTTGTTAATATATTTTTATGGTGATGTCAAGATGGTTCTAGCTCAGTGAACACCTCGCCCAGGTGGGAGGGTGACTCAGGCTGGCTCACCCCATCCCTTGTACCTGCATCTCCCAGTTCAGGTGCCTCGCTGGTGTCCTGTGGGTTCTCAGGGTTCCAGGAGCTCCATGCTCACACCTTCCTTTCTCAGGTGTCACCTGGAATCTTGCTCTATGGATGTTTCCCATAACTCACCCCGCCCTGAAGGGAGTTTTGGGCTTGGTTTACCTTGCAAAGGGTCTGATGAGGTGCTTCAGGCCCCGTTAGTAATAAGGAGTGTTGTCCAGAAGGCAGCATCTCCTAAGCTTTTCTGCGAACAGCCCCATTAGGCATCACACCTTCTGTGTGGTCACATATGTTCGGAAAAACAGTGTCCATCTGGCTGGCATTGCTTAGTGGTGGATCGTTGACCTATGAACCAGGAGGTCATGGTTCCATTCCCAGTCAGGGCACGTACCCGGGTTGTGGGCTCGAGCCCCAGTAAGGGGTGTGCAGGAGACAGCTGATCGATGATTCTCTCTCATCATTGATATTTCTCTCTTTCTCTCCCTCTCCCTGCCTCTCTGAAATCAATAAAAATATATTAAAAATAAAAGAAATAAAATCTTGTTCACTCTAATCCCATCAAAATACTTTTGTCACGTAACAGCATCAGAGAAAATGATAAAAAAGAAAATAATTTGTTGATAAAAAGAAATAATAAATTAATGATACTTTGGATGAATGTATAAAGTCATTATCCAAACTTGGACATTTTTGAGAATGGATAGCTATTATTAATTAAGTATGCCCTAGCTCCGTGGTCGGCAAACCACGGCTCATGAGCCACATGCGGCTCTTTGGCCCTTTGAGTGTGGCTCTTCCACAAAATACCACGTACGGGAGTGCACGTACAGTGCGATTGAAACTTTGTGGCCCATGCGCAGAAGTTGGTATTTTGTGAAAGAGCTGGTATTTTGTGGAAGAGCCACGCTCAAGGGGCCAAAGAGTCGCATGTGGCTCACGAGCCGCGGTTTGCCGAGCTGCAGTTTGCCGACCACTGCAGCTGTTTTGGCTCAGGGGATACAGCGTCAGCCTGTGGACTGAAGGGTCCTGGGTTCGATTCTGGTCAAAGGCACATGCCTGGGTTGCAGGCTCGATTCACAATATGGGCATGCAGGAGGCAGCCGATCAATGATTCTCTCTCATCATTGATAGCTCTCTCCAGTATTCTCTGAAATAAAAAATATATATATTTAAAAATAAATGTTATTATTTAAAAAATAATTAAGTATGAATCACAGCTATCTCATGCAATCCAGGAGGCATGCTCAGCCTGATTGTAGTTCACATCTATTGAGAGCTACTTATCTGTTAGACACTGAGACAAGTTCTTTACCAGTATATCTTATCTAATGACTAAGAGTTAGGTTTGCTAGCATTAATAATTATTTCTTTTTATATACTGAACTAGAGGCCCAGTGGATGAATCTGTGCACGGGTGGGGTCCCTCGGGGTGGCCTGCGGGGATCGGGCCCCAGCTCGTGCCCCCAGGCTTGCAGCCCCAGCTCATGTCCCGAGCCTCGCAGCCCTGCAGTCCTGCCTGGCACCCCGCGTGGCCTGGTGCCACCCCCTCACCTGCTCCACCATCCCATCTGCGGGGTGAAGATCAGAGACAATTCCCCCACCCAAAACACCCCGCTCCCTCAGTGCCTGGGAGCTGGGTGGCGGCCCCGGCCCCCACCACCACTGCTGGTTGCCATCTGCAGGGCGATCAGCGGAGCAATCGGGCCCCCACTCACACCCGCCTTGACCTGGTGCTGCCCTCGCACCTGCTCCACCATCCCGCTGCAGCCCCGCTCTCATCGGAGCCCATCTGGGCCTGCAGTGCCTCCACTGCTGCCCACTGCCCGTGCTGCCTCGCTGACCCCTGCCATGTTCAGCACCGCCCCCTGCCCCTGCCAAACTCCTGGTTGAGGGGACAATTTGCATATTAGGCTTTTATTATATAGGATTCACTGACAAAAATGTGACTTTGATGACTTTACTGAACTTAACTGTTTATTAAATAAAAAAAAAACTGTTACTCACTACATACCAATTTCTGTCCTAAAGAATGAGGAAATGAAGATGATTAATACATAGTTTTCATTGTTAATGATCTACCAGTATAGTTGACAGAATCCGGGGATAAAATTTCAATGCAATTTGGTAAAGTGTCATGATAATAATGTAGTTTGTGACGATCCCAAGTAGTATTTCAGTACATTATGTAATGTATTTTTTAGGTTTAAGATTATAGTATAATTGGACTTTCCAAGGTAGAGTTTGCTTTTTCGTGAAAAGAAAAGTTTTATCAATGGAAAAGATAATGTAAAGCTAATTGTATGTGTAAGTTGTTTTTTCTCTGTCCTGGAAAGTATAGTTGACATGATGTGCGTGTATGTGTGCATATGTGTGTGCATGCGTGTGTATAAGAGAAGGGGGAAGGGAAGGAGAGAGGCCAGTTCTTTATCACAAAGGATGCATTTCCATATCTATAATGTAATTTTAGCTACATTCAACCTATATTCTGTGAAGGTCTAGCATATTTCTCTGACACATCTGGTAGATATGTATGGCATTAATTAGCATAGGTATTGCTATAAATGACATGTCAATTCAGGACAACAAAATGCTATTTGTTACTGATGTCAATCATTCATCCTTTGTCAGTTCAAAAGACTTCCCTAAAGGAATATGCATTGATCTTCACAGGTCCAAAATACAGCAAAACCATTTCTGTGTTCTACAAACAAAAGATTGAAGTACCTATGCTTGAAAAGCCACATAAAGATATTCCTATAGAAAGTATATAATGTTTGTAAGTTTTAATGTTAAGATTGTTAAATTGGGTCAAGATTTGTTGAATCTTTCAAAAAGAAAACATAATAGTTGCATGTAATCTGAATATCTAGTCTTGAATTAATTTCCTCCCTTAGTAGTTTTAATTTTTGGTAGTCATATTTGTGTTTTTGTTTCACCTTCAAATAATTTTGATATATACCAGTGATTACAAGTAGAGCTTGCAATGTTTAAAAACTGAAGAGGATCACACAAGTATCATTTTGTGTTCAGATTGATGACAGAAAGAGGTACTCTTGTGCCCACGTATATTTTGTTTTTTTTTTGTATTTAGCTATTCTGATAGATATTGATTGACTTCATTTGTTTACTATTTTTCCAATATACTTAAAAATAATAATCATAAGTGTAATAGTTTTAACTTTAAGCAAAAACTGGCTTTAAAGTGCTAGCGGACATATTTTCACAAAACATCTATATTTTATTTCCATTTTTCTCCAATGCTCCCCTACATTCTTATTTATTATTTAATGGGAGGCAATTAATTACTTTAAGGTAAAGATAGAGGGTATGACACACATTTAAGATATTTATCTTATTTCATTTTAATGAGGCAGAAAATATTTATTATTAGAACCTTACATTTGTAAAATATAATTAATTCTCTTAAAATTATGAATTTACATATCACAAAAGGTCAGGGACTTATACATCATATTTCTGTGTACTTGTATGGGTAGGATATGTTGCATTTTTACGTCTTATTGATGTTAAAGAATTGGCATGAAAACAGATTTCAAATGTACTCATGTCATGCATTCTAATTTGACCAACATGCCTTGTTTGAGTAGCAGTTCCCCAGCCTTTGCACCATCGTTGAAGTCCTTATTCCAGATTTTTTGCCCTGCCTTATAGACCCTCTGACATCTATTTCTGGTCTGTATCAGGCTCTCAAAATCATCTTTTTTTATTATTCCATTAACAATTTAAAAATGGATTTTTCTTCATACTTTCCTAATCATCCTATAATTATTTAGCCTTCAGACATTAAGATGAATGAGTAAAAATATTTGATATCTAATCATCTCTTCCAGTCCATTCAAATTCATGGATTTGTAAAATTATGTTAAAGTCTTTAAAAAATACATTTGAGTAGGCTTTTGTAGTCATTTGGATTTTGATAATTAATTTTCTCATGTTATCCTGCTTAGCCATAAAAAGGAAAAAGAAGATAGATATGGGTTTCTTTTAGTGGTGTTAATTTAAAGTACTTGATTTATTTATTAATAATATTCAACAATGGCAATTCCTATTGTCTCTGTTCACCTTGGATTCAACAGAAAATAATGAGATGCCTCCACCCCCAGCACATTAAAAAAAGTTTAATGCATTTTGTAATAATTGATTAAAAGTATAATTTCCCTCTAGATCAAACAAATAATAGAAGTCTGTTCAAGCTTTGTCCTGACCTATTCTGGAAGTAGAAGAATACCCTGGAGAAAGGAGCATTGTCAGTACAAAGAATAAGACTCCTCAATCCTGGGAGAGAGAATTAAACTCTAACCCTCCAAATGTAAGTCATCTGTACTCTATATTTTTCATCCCTCAGTTTTTGTGGCTATTCAGATATTGGTAGAAACATATATGATGACAATGTTATTTGGATTTTTTTCTGGATGACAAAATATACAGTGTTTTGGTTGGTAACTTTTATACATCCATGTGTGTTAATATTTAATAACTAATATGATAAGGTAATGATTTACAATAATAATGTTTAATGCAAAATGGGTTAATTTTAATTTTACTTTCTGGTGCAGAAATGTTAAGAATGTTGATATTATTCTGATGAAAAGAAGGTGACTTTCTTTGATTTAGTATCTGCAATTGTGTCATCATAATCCCTTTTTGCTCTAAACATTGGTTCTTTTTTTCTTTCATATTTCTTCATATCTGAGAATAAGACTATCCTAATATATCTATTTAAATACACCTTCCAGTAAGAGAGTCATTAAGTCCTTTTCCCACTTTGCATGGTGAAAATGAATTGGAATGAATTCATATTCATAGTCTATTATAAATATATGTAAATTTTGTCAGCTCAGTGTATTGGAAAGACTGATTTCCTGTCCTGTTAGGAAGAACTTAAAATATGTGGGTTAATTATTATATAGAAACACAGAATTCAGTTGCTGTTTAGAAATTATGAGGATGGGAAGATTCCAAAATGGAGGCAGAGTACGTGGAAGCTACACTGACACTCTCCCAGGACCAAACTGGAAATACAACTAAAATACAGAAAAACCATCCTGAAAAATCACCTGAAGACTAGCTGGGGTGAACCCTGATGACCAGGGACGGAAAGTGGAGATTGCATAGAGACTGGTAGGAAGCAGAGTTGTGAAAGGTCTGGCTGGGATCCCACAGACAGCAGCTGAAGGTCCAGAGGGATATCTCAGCTCTAGAGAATTCCCACTGAGAACTCTGTGCTCTAAACCCCAAGATGGGCTCCCTGGCCCAGAGAACCAGAACTGAGAAAGGTGCCCACATAACATCTGGCTGTGAAAAGCAACAGGGTTGCTGTACTCCAGGGAGAGATGGCTGGAAATGCAGGCATCCTCTTAAAGGGCCAACAAAAAAAATTTAGAGTGCAGCCACTCACTTTGTGCTCCAGCAGAGGGAGGGCAGAGTGGACTGGAACTGTGTGGACAGAAGCCAGGTTTGGGGGCTCTGGGGTTGGAGTTTGGAGGGCAGCCACCCCAGTCTCCTATGCTGAGTCATTCCCTCATACTGCAGAAGACATCTTTCTCTGGTGAACCTTTACCATCCAGGTAGTTTTGCCTGGGGGAAGGCAGTTGACCTACTCTGTTGGAAGACCTCTCCCCTCACCCTGTGGTTGATTGTCTGAGGCTAATCAAACCTGAGTGTCAGTAGGACTGCAGGTAGAGTTGAATATCTGGAGGCTTTGAGTCTTTGCCTGACCTAATCTGGGGCCTGGGGCTAGTAAAATCAGACCCTGGTGCACATCTTGGTCCTTGCCAAAGACACACAGCCCCAGCAAAGAGAGCTATAAAATGTGGATTTCTGATAGCTCCAAACAGGGTACTCAGGGGCAGTCACAAACAGCATCTGGCATTGTCCAGCACTAGAGATTGGGAGTTGTAACACATCTACCCAATATGCATAAACAAATCCAAACAGGCAGCCAAAATGGGGAGGAAAAAACAAAACAAAACAAAAAACAAGCCCCAAATGAAAGAACAAGAGAATTCTCCAAAAGACCTAAATGAAATGGAGATAATAATTTATCAGACATAGAGTTCAGGATAATTATGGCAAAGATGTTCAACAACATGAGAAAAGATATAGTAACTATGAAGAATGACATAGCACTAATAAAGAACACAGTGGAAGGAACATTCAGCAGATTAGGGGAAGCCAAGGATCAGATCAGTAAGATGATAGGGTAGAAAAAAATCACTCAATCACAGAACCAAAAAGAAAAAAAAAAAACAATTAAAAAGCAGGAGGACAGCTTACGGGAACTGTGAGACAACAGGAAATGTAACATTTTTTTCATGGGAGTACCAGAAGATGAAGAAAGTGAGCAAGTGATAGTGAACGTCTTTGAAGAAATAATAGCAGAAAACTTCTCTAACCTGGTGAAGGAAAAAGTCATACAATTTCAGGAGGCACAGAGAATCCCAAGCAAGAAGAACCCAAACAGGCCCATACCTAGACACATCATAATTAAAGTTTCAAATATTAAAGACAAAGAGAGAATCTTAAAGGCAGCAAGAGAAAAGCAAACTGTTACCTACAAAGGAACTCCCATAAGGCTGTCAGCTGATTTCTCATCAGAAACTCTACAGGCTAGAAGTGAATGGCATGAAGTATTCAAGGTAATGAAAAGCAAGGATCTGAAACCAAGATTACTATAGAAAGAGTACCCGCAAGGCTATCCTTCAAAATAGATGGTGAAATAAAGTGCTGCCCAGACTAAAAAAGGCTAAAGGAGTTTATCACCACCAAGTCATCACTGCAAGAAATGCTAAAAAGACTGCTGTAATGAGAAGAAATAGAGAAAGAGAGAAACATAGGCATAAAGAATTAAAATGGCAATATATAAGTACCTATCAATAATAACCTTAAATGTAAATGGATTTAAAGCTCCAATCCAAAGATTTAGGATAGCTGAATGAAGACAAAAATATGACCCAATTATATGCTGTCTATAAGAGGCCCACCTCAGAATAAAAGACTCCTAAAGGATGAGAGTGAAAGGATGGAAAAAAAATCTCCATGCAAATTGAAACAAACAAACAAAAAAAGCTGAGGTAGCAATACTTATATCTGACAAAATAGACTCAAAATGAAGGCCATCACAAGGGACAGTAAAGTTCACTACATACTATTTAAGGGGTCAATTTAACAAGAGGATACATGCACTCAATATATTAAAAAACTTCTAGAGGACTTTAAGGGAGAGATCGACAGCAATACAGTCATAGTAAGGGACTTCAACCCCCACTAACTTCCCTGGATAGATCTTCCAGACAAAAAATTAACAAGGAAGTAGAGACTCTAAATGACACACTGGATCAGATGGATTTAATTGACATTTATAGAACATTTCACCCCAATGCTGCAGAATATACATTCTTCTCAAGTGCACATGGGTCATTCTCAAAGACAGATCATATGTTAGGATAAAACAAATGTCTCTACAAATCAAGAAGATTGAAATAATACTAAGCATCTTCTCAAATCACAATGAATGAAATTAGAAATCAACTACAGTAAAAACACTTAAAATAGATGGTGAAATAAAGTGCTGCCCAGATAATAAAAAAGGCTAACCACATGGAGATAAATATAATGTTATTAAATAATGAGTGGGTTACCAAAGAGATCAAGAAAGAAATCAGAAAGTTTATGGAAACAAATGAAAAAGAACTCACAACAATTCAAAATATCTGGAACTTCCCTGAGAGGGAAGTTCATAGCACTGCAGATCTTCCTAAAAAAGAAAAGAAAAGTTCATAATAAACTATTTAACCATACAACCTAAGGAATTAGCAAGAGTACAACAAGAAAAATCCAGAGTAAGTTGAAGGAAGGAAATAATAAACATTATAGCAGAAATAAATAACATAGAGGCTAAAAAACAATACAAAAAATCAATGAAGCCAAGAGCTAGTTCTTTGAAAAGATAAGTGAGATTGATGAACCATTAGCCAGATTCATCAAGAAACAAAGAGAGAGAACCAAATGAAATCAGAAAGGAAAGCAGTGGAGTAATAACTGACACCAAAGAAATACAAAGCAAATGCTATGAACAACTATATACCAAGAAACTACATAACTTTGGCAAAATGGACAGATTACTAAT